TCCTGCTGAGGTCTCTTCCTCTCTCCCTAAGTGAGTCCCCCAGCCTGCTAGGGGGTCCTACCAGGCCCCTTCCCTCTCCATGAAACCTAGGGGAAACTCTTGGATTAAAGCACTGTTGGGAGTTTGCACATCTCAGGGATGAATCTGTGAACTAGTGGAGATTTCACACTAATTCTTAGACACGCCCGGGACACACAGTCGTTGCAAAGCTTTGGGAGGATGAAGAAAGGAACAAATGATTCCCGCCCTCCAAACAATCACAACCCAATGCAGAGATGTCCTCCACATAACACAATCTAGGCTATGGGGAAAATGATATCAATGGTCTCCCGAGCGTGATGAGAGGACGAAGGTGAGAAATCACCAAGACTCTGAGAAGAAAGTAATGTTGGAGCAGAACCTGAGGCCTGGGCAGGATGTTATAGGCAAAGCTGGCGGTCAGAAGCAGAGATCAGAGTGAGCCTATGGGGAGAATGCTGGTGGAAGAAAACGGAACAAAGCAGCCCTGAAATCAGCAAGCACGGCCAGTGGGCTCTGAGAGCTGAAATCAGTCCCCGTTACGATAGGCCCTTCAACAGCACCCCTCTTCTCACACCAAAGGGGACCATGGTAGAGAAGCTCATTTTCTTTAAGTTACTGTTAACATCTGCACTGTCCAGTAGAACTCTCTGTGATGATGAAATGGTCTCTGTGCCGTCCAATAGTTGGCCACTGTAGCCACTACTAAGCACTTGAAGCAATGCTAGTGCAACCAAGGAACGAAGCGTATAACTTGATTTTATTGTAAATAATTAAATTTTAATAGGCACAGGTAGCTGGTCGTTACTGTATTGGATGGTAGAGGTTCCGATACCAAAAGGTCCTCTTTCCCATGCCACTCGGCCATGGGATAATGACAAGCTGCAATAGGATGCCCTGGTGTTGGGATAGAAGACTTCCGGGGTCACTGAGTAATCTCTACTTTATTTGGGGAAGAGAAAAGTTCAGTTCCACCCCGAACAGATATGAGTGTGTGGGTGCGTTGTTGATTTTGGATTTTGTTGTTGCTGTTTTCCTGCTAAAAGGCCAATTTCTACGCGAGTTTTTACTTAAGCAAGAGTCGAGTCGCTGACAGAATGAATACGTGCCTCTTTTGGAGAGGAAAGAAATCCCACCCCCAAAGCTCCTTAGTCCCTAAAGACCTTTTAATCAGAGAGAGGGATGAGGGAGAGGCTGGGAGTAACCATTCCAATGCTACCGGTCCTTGAGCCCAGAAATTTAGTTCTCAAACCTCGCAGGGAATCACGTGTTTAAAAAAAAACCTGTTACAACCATGCTCATAGCGGCATTATTCACAGCGGCCAAAAGGTGGAAGCAAACCAAGTGTCCATCTATAGAGAGCTGGATAAACAAAACGAGGCATATACATATAATGGAATATTATTCAGCCTTAAAAAGAAACAAAATCCTGACACATGCTAAAGCATGAATGAACATTGAGGACATTATGCTAAACGAAATAAGCTGGTCACTAGAAGATAAATACAATACGATTCCACTTATATGAGGCACCTAGAGTAGTCGGATTCATAGAAGAATAATGGTTGCCAGGAGTAGCAGGGAGGATGGGGAATTGTTTAATGAGTACAGAGTTTCAGTTTTGCAGGATGAAGAGTTCTGCGGATTGGGTGCACAACAGTGCACTTAACACTACTGAACTGTACACTAACAAACGGTTAAGATGGTACATTAAGTTATGCGTATTTGACCACGATTTAAAACAAACCAATATGCATATGTATCCCCAAAAGTAGAGGCAGAGGGCAGAAGGAGGTAGGCACAGGAGTTTTAGCCTCACCATGCCACCAGTCCTGCAAGAACAGCCGCACTCCACCCGAAAAGGCGCGTCCCTCCCTCCTTCCCTCCCTCCCGGAGGCCTGTCCTGTGATTCTCCATGGGGCGCTCACAATAATGTCCTTAAGCGGTGCCAGCGGTACCTCCGCGCCGGCCTGAGGAGCGGGTGGCCAATGAGCACACGCCTGCGCCGGACCTCGCGCCCCCATTGGCTGCGCCCAGCAGCCCGCGACCCCTCAGGTTCCCAAGCCGGGTTTAAAGGGGTTGGGCGCGGGCTACTGCCCTGCCATCCGCTCCCCGCGCGCAGGTCTGCGGGGAGGGGCGGCCTGCTGAAAGGTCCACCCCGGGGCGTTCCTGAAGGGCGCTTCGGCCCTCCCCACCATCCCCCAGATGTATTATGCGGTTTCCCAGGCGCGCGTGAACGTGGCCCCTGCGACCATGTTGCGGCCACAGCGGCCGGGAGACGTGCAGCTCGGGGCCTCCCTGTATGAGCTCGTGGGCTACCGGCAGCCGCCCTCCTCCTCCTCTTCCGCCACTTCCTCCTCCTCCTCCACGACGGCCCCCCTTCTCCCCAAGGCGGCGCGCGAGAAGCCGGAGGCGCCCGCAGAGCCGCCGGGCACCGGATCCGGGCCGGGCGCGCACGCGGGCGGCGGCTCCCGGGCAGACGCCAAGGAGGAGCAGCAACAGCAGCTGCGGCGCAAGATCAACAGCCGAGAGCGGAAGCGCATGCAGGACCTGAACCTGGCCATGGACGCGCTGCGCGAGGTCATCCTGCCCTACTCGGCGGCGCACTGCCAGGGTGCACCGGGCCGCAAGCTCTCCAAGATCGCCACGCTGCTGCTCGCCCGCAACTACATCCTGCTGCTGGGCAGTTCGCTGCAGGAGCTGCGCCGCGCGCTCGGCGAGGGCGCGGGACCCGCTGCACCGCGCCTGCTGCTGGCCGGCCTGCCTCTGCTCGCCGCAGCGCCGGGCTCAGTGCTGCTGGCCCCCGGCGCCGTGGGGCCGCCCGACGCGCTGCGCCCGGCCAAGTACCTGTCGCTGGCGCTCGATGAGCCGCCCTGCGGCCAGTTCGCGCTTCCCGGCGGCGGCCCGGGCGGCGGCGCGGGCAGCCCCGGCCTTTGCACCTGCGCCGTCTGCAAGTTCCCGCACCTCGTCCCGGCAGGCCTGGGCCTCGCCGCGGTGCAGGCGCAGTTCTCCAAGTGAGGGCTGGCCCGGGCCCGGGGCGCGACCTCGGCCCGGCCTCCCGCCGCCCAGCTTCTGCGCGTCCCCGCGCCCTGCGCCCCGCGAGAGCAGGGCCGAGCAAAGAGGGCATTTCGAACTTTCTCGCCCAGAGAAAGGGACTGTTGGGCGTCCCCCTCCCCGCCCCCACCCCGGGGAAATTAAAGTGACCCGAGCGGATGTTCGATAGAGCATCGGGGCTGTTTGGGGTTCTGGGTGGATTCCAGCTGCTTTGCGCAGTAAGTGCGCACTCTCACTGCCACTGTCACCCAGCGCTTTTCTCTCCCGGCTCCTGGAGTCGTGCGCTTCGCAGGAGGTGATGTGGACTTCAAGGCGCCATGCTAGCCCAGGGTGCGGCGTCAGGCCAGGCCCGAGGGGACCAAGGGGCTGCTCTCGGAGGGCGGGGGCTAGAGGTGGCGGTGTTTTCTTCTCCTCGGCCAGGGGTCATAGGCGCCCTCGTTCCCAGCAAACAGCCCCTGTTAGAGGAGGCTGCCCGACCCCAGAAAGCCGAGAGAGACCACTAAGTCGGTGCAGAAGGTCTCGGGCGTAGCAGACGGACCGACCCTCTGCGGCTGGACGGTTGGCATCGCGGTGCCACGGGAGGGGGCCATGACAATTCCCGGGTGGATGGGTGTGCTGGGTTGGGAAGTCCGCTTTCGTACCCCGACGATTACAGTGCAGCTTTTGATAATCGCATAACCGTGTGTTTTGTTGCGATTATTCGCTTTGAAATCATGGCGTCTTCTTAGAAGGGCAGTTTAGAACTCAAGATTCATCGTTTTGTCCCCCCTTCCCCAAAGGTAGCGTAACCAACATTTGAGCTTGCTTAAAAACAACCACCTTTCCCCCGCAGAAGGGGTTCCCGGTGTCCTAAAAAATAGGTAACAATGCGTTTCGCCGTTGCTGTCCTGTCAGAAAGCACGATGTCTAATTAACGTTCTGCCTCGTTAAAAGACACGGAGGGGAACCGGGAGCCTCACAGAGCAGGCTGCCCGGAGGGGCTCCGCTGCGGTGGCGACGGCGGGATGGCGTTTTCTGCGCTGTCCCTTCACGTGCGGGGTCTTGGACCAGCGCGTGGGGTGGGTCATCTGGCCGCTGTGCGATTGCAGAACTATCAGTACATTGATTTGTTACAGATGTTAACAAATTACTCCACCCAAGATGATTTTATGACCTTTCAGAAGCTTGCTTTGGATTTTATGTTTAAGGTTTTTGGTTGTTGGTAGTAGCCGAATTTAACTGGCATTTTATTTTTTTCTCTAACTTTGTTTCGTTGCGCTGTGAACAAAATAAACATGTAAAAACCTTATATTTTCCGCCTGATCTGTTTGTTAATAAAAGTGTAAGGTGCCCTGGTGGATCCAGAACCTCAGGATGAAGGGTAATCATTAAATGACGCGGGTCAAAAATGTTAAACCTGGCTTCCTGATTTGTAAAATAATCCAATGGAGTCAACTGTAGGTCAAGTTCAGGCATCGCAGGTGAATGGGTGGGTGAGAGGAGGGAGGGAGGAATTCCAGGAATTAGTTCTTAGCCGAGCTGGGAGGGAGGGTCTTTTTACACTACAGTGTGAAAAATGGGCCATGAAATACATTTATGATAAAATTATTTTCTATCTCATCATATTTCTCAGAAATATACCTTTTTCTGTCTTAGTGGACAGAAGCTTAAACAATATCTCATGGCTGAGCTTTCCCCCCATCATTTAGATCAGGTTGGAGTTTTCTCCCAGGAAATTACGACCTTGGACATCATTTTATTCTAACAAGTAAAGAAAACTCTTCTGTCTGATGATGTTACAAAGAATTTGGAATGTGGACTTGCTCACATGCAATATTTAAATATTCATAGTTATTAATGAAATACAACCACATTTAAAGGTAGGGGGATCGTAGGGGAGAAACAGTGTTTCCTTTAACCTGTGGGAAATTAAAGAAAGGCCAGATAAGGTGATTTACTCAGTTTTATCCACACTGGTCCATGTGAAGCATGTATACATTTAGGAGAAATGAGTATTCACTTTGGGAACACAGAAGGGATTGGTGGGGAGGCGTGCCGGCCAGATGGAATTGCCTTGCCTACCATCCTGGCTAAGTGCCTATTTACTCAAGGGGAGGGGCAGGAGAGGACTTGAGGGAAAGTAGTGCTAATGCACCAACCCATTTCGGGGAAGAATTTCTCATTCTTCCTGACTCTGCCATCAGAAAATTCACAGGCTTCTATTATAACTAAATTTGAATTGTGGCCTTCTGTGTATTAAACAGCTGTCTTTGCTTACCTTGCATCTTGACAATGGACAGAAAGAAAATGAACAACTAAAGCAAAACCAAATCAGGTCACCCCTGAAAAAAATATTTCTAGGATATTAGAAATAAACAATTCCTCCAGTAGTCCCGGCTATATCACCTAGATGCCATTCTCATTTTGAAAACCATCTCTAAAAGAAGCAGAGAGCTATAGGGCAGAAGAGGAATGGGTGGTCTCCCTCCTGTCTCTACTTATAAACTGGAGCAAGTACCAGTGCCTTATAGGAAAGGTAACACTACATGTGATTTTTTTATTTAACTGAGAAAAATCACAACCTATGATGCTTCCCAGAACCACTAAAGATTACGAGTGACTTTCACAAGAATATGCAGGGCTATTTTGAGTATCCTCAAAGTATTTAAGTTATCTGCCTGCATGTAGCATCTTATTGGCCCATGTGCCAAGAAAGATTAGCAGACCCCCTCCTTACAAGGAATTGACATCCCGAAAAGTAGCATCAGAGGGCATTCAGCTGTCCTGTAGAATAAAAGGCAATTATATACGGTGCCCCAAACGCAAAGTTAGACCTCTGAACGTATGTCTATGGGAGGGTAGCATATTCTGCAGGCACAATATTTAAGTGTAGACATGTATGCTGTAGAGCGAGGAGTTGCTCTGTGAAGTCTGCAGGCAGGCTTTCTGCAGAAGGAACAAATTTAAGCTGGTCTTGGAAGCGGTTGGGAAAGCAGAGAGGGTGTAAGACAGGCTCCTTGAGAAAGGTTCACCAGGCTTCAGAAGCACGATGAAAAGAAACATGTGGCTCAACGCCAAAAAAAAGTTCCCTGCATCCAGCCAGTTTGTGATCCCAGCGACGAGAGTGAACAGAACCTAAGGGGAAAATACACAAGGCCCTGAGAAATTATGTGGTTATACGTGCGGGAGGCCAGGTGAACAATCAATCAGTAAACGGAGAGCAGATTAAATGCACTGTGGGATTTCCGTAGCCTGTAGTGATGGTCTATTTAGAGGTGTCCTCCTCCAAGGGAAACTGATTACACCAGGGATGAAAATATGACCTTGTAAAATATATAACTTAGAAGGTAAGTGTCCCCATCAAGAAAGAGGCTCCATCCCAAGTATGGGAATTATTTCACTTTACCAAAGTTCAGATTATTAACAACACTGCTTCCATGTTGCCCATCTGGTTCAGGGTCACCCATCTAGTCCTTGCTGACTCCCCAGATACGCAGGTGAGGCTGGGTGCAAGCTGGCAGTCAATACGCAGAGTCTTAGCCTGCTAGCTAGACCTCACAGGCCATAAAGGAAGCCAGCCAGAAGGACTTTTCTTTCTGCCACACAGGCACACATTATGAACTTGCTAAGAACAAGGTGGTGGTTAGGAAGAGCTTTTTCTCACCATGGCATACAGCACATCTATTGGGAAAATGCATTTCCCCCAGGAGGCAGTTTCTTGCTGGCTCACTGCCCCTTCCCTCTTCTGCACACGTAAATATCAATAAGAGTACCACCTCCACTGAAGGAGGCTCAAGAAACCACAGCTTGAAAACTGTCGTGCTTTTCTAACACACAGGCTCACTTTTATCAAGCAACTTTTAGTTGTAGGGAA